CCAGCAGGCAGCAGGCAGCGCCGGCAGCCGGCAGCCGGCAGGCGGCAGCCGGCAGGCAGCAGCCAGCAGCCAGCAGCCAGCAGCCAGCAGCCAGCAGGCAGCAGGCAGCAGGCAGCAGCCAGCAGGCAGCAGGCAGCAGGCAGCCGGCAGCAGCCAGCAGCCAGCAGCCAGCAGGCAGCAGGCAGCAGGCAGCAGGCAGCAGGCAGCAGGCAGCAGGCAGCAGGCAGCAGGCAGCAGGCAGCAGGCAGCAGGCAGCAGGCAGCAGGCAGCAGGCAGCAGGCAGCAGGCAGCAGGCAGCAGGCAGCAGGCAGCAGGCAGCAGGCAGCAGCCAGCAGCCAGCAGCCAGCAGCCAGCAGCCAGCAGCCAGCAGCCAGCAGCCAGCGCCAGCCGCCCCGCATGCAGCCACGCCACCTCCATCATCCATCCGCCAGCCGCATCCGCCACTCCAGCAGCCCGCCGCCGCCATCCATCCAGCAGCCAGCAGCAATCCAGCCATCGCCAGCCAGCCAGCAGCCAGCCAGCGCCCACAGCCAGCAGCCAGCCAGCAGCCAGCCAGCCAGCAGGCCAGCCAGCAGCCAGCCCAGCAGCCAGCAGCCAGCAGCCAGCCAGCCACCAGCCAGCCAGCAGCAGCCAGCAGCCAGCAGCAGCAGCAGCAGCCAGCAGCAGCCAGCAGCAGCAGCAGCAGCAGCCAGCAGCAGCCAGCACCAGCAGCACCAGCACCAGCAGCACCAGCAGCAGCACCAGCAGCACCAGCAGCAGCACCAGCACCAGCAGCAGCAGCACCAGCGCCAGCAGCAGCAGCACCAGCACCAGCACCAGCACCATCACCATCACCATCACCATCACCATTTCCATCATTATTATCATCATAGCATCACCATCATCAGCACCATGATCAACATCATCATCATCAGCATCATCATCAGCACCATCATCATCATCATCACCATCAGCATCATTGTCATTTTCATCAGCTTCCGCACCGACATCATCATCATCAGCATCACCATCATCATCATCATCATCAGCATCAGGATCATCATTATCATCATCATCATCATCATCATCATTGTCATCATCAGCAGCAGCATGGTCAGCATCAGCACCGTCATCATCATCATCATCATCAGCAGCATCATCATCAGATTCATCATCGCCATCATCATCATCATCATCATCACCATCAGCATGGTTAATATCATTAATTATTTCAAATGCTTGTTCTTGTAAGCAGATGTTAGCAGTACATCTAGTAGTAGGATTAGCCTGGTTTTCGTCATTATGAGTTGCATGATTGTTCTTAAGGCTAGCTATGAGGGATTTTATTTAGAATGATTTAGATAAGCATCCAGATAGATAGATGGATATTTATAGATATAGATATAGGTATAGCAATAGCTTTAGATATAGATATAGATATAGATGTAGACACAATTTATCAATATACAATTATACAATGGGGCTATCGGCTTATATTATCCACAAACATGGGGTGTAGGGGGGCAACTCTCTTGATTTCGTGTATTGAAAGTTGGGAATGATTCCCTGGTGGTTTAGTCTTCAAACCCACCACGATCCTTTTAAAGTGACTGATGCAGTATTTTCCCTTGTGCTAGGAAACTTCAAAGGCTACAACCCCAGCATGGATGTTCGCATGCTAATTTTCCGAACTATCTGCAGGCAGCAAATATTCAAACAGTTTTTTAAGGCCCGACGTTGAATTCCGGGAATGGATGTCACTGGTTTGTATACAGTATACGTGCCTATATGGTCAAGAACTATTTTCCCGTTATCCCCCTCTGATCCGGTGACATTTCTTGCCCTCGTAGTTTATGGGACCGGCGATCCCAATTTCACTGGGTGCGCCTCCCAGGGTTTCTTCAGTTTCCTCAGTTTTCCTCCCAGGATCCTGCTGGAACAGTTCTCCTCTGGCACTGGGAGCATCGACACTGACTCGGTGGAAGTTCTTTACAACTGGACTTTTGAGAAATTTTGCTCCCGCTTGCAGATTATGCAAGAAGTGTGGCAGGCCCACAGCCAAGACCCAGAGAACTTTGATCTGGACGAATTCAACCATCCTTGGTCAGAGCAAGGCCAGCAGCATCATTCTGTGTGTTTTTCTCGGCGTATCTTCTTCCCTTTGGGTCATAAAGGGCTGACAGAACTCGATTTTGCCATGGAACTTACCATTTTCACAGCCTGCATCATATGAGGGGTGCTTAGAGATTCAAAACCAACCATCCAAACACACATGAATACATCAACAGACCTGGTGAGCTAAATAGGCCATGTCTTCGGATCCTATCCCAAGATCTCAATGATTTGGAACTCGCGGCGGCCCTTTGTTCCCAAGGTCCTAGTGAGCTCGCGGAATTGCGGCAACGGTACGACAGCCTGCGTGACAGCATCGTATCAGCTGGGACTCCCTTGCGATCGGTGCAACACATGCAACACATGTCACCAAACCAAACGGGGACCCTCACGCCCTTTGGCATGCACGTGAGGAGGTCCAATGACAGGTTGGAAGAAGAGAACCAGCGGCTACGTCAGCAGGTGAGTGCCTGGCTGATGACTTCATGTCAGTTTCTTTCATTTTTGTTGATGCTTGGTGTTAGTCAATTGCTAGGATTTTCTGGGTGCAACTCATCAAACTTCACATTTTCAGAATGATTTTCATACATTTCCAGGAAAGCCTGGGGCAATTGGAATCCAGCGACCACCCAGGTGAGTTGAGCAGTGCCCTGCATTCGCGCAGTGGGTTTCGATCCCCTTCCAGCATGGCTGGCCCCAATGACACTGCCATGGCTGGTGGCCCTGGGGGTCTTCCATTGAGCAACAGCACAACTGAAGTGCCAAGCTCATTGAAAGGAATCCTGGACTTGTCAAAGACCAATTTGCTCTTGGTGCTTGACTTGTTGCATGGCTACAGTTAGCACAAGGTTTATGGGAGCTTTGGGGCTTTGGGATGCCGAACTTTTGAGTTCTGGGAAGGGGTATCTTCCAGCTTGGACCGCCAGTGGCAACAGACGGCTGGAAGTGCTTTTGCGCTGTCACTGCTTCAACTTATGCTATGTGTCGCCTTGCAAGTTGTCAATTTGATCAATTACTTGTTAAAATTGGCATGGCTTCGCCCTGTGGTGATGGGTAAGTTTTCTAATGATAGCTGGATGATGGCCTCACTAGCTGAGTGGCACCCGGAATTTCATCGACTGCAGCCGAGCCATCCCCCAGGTTTGATACACTCTCCCGGCTCAGCAGTGGCATGCTGAATGCCTCAGCTGCCTGCCTGGGGACCACACCAGACGATAGTCCTGCACTGAGCGAGGCCAGAAAGCGACTGGCTGAGGCATCCTCAGACTTGGCAGCCTTTTTTGCTGCAACTTGGCGCGTCAAATGCTGGTCATTTTGCTTTTTGGATGTTGTGGTGCAGGGTTGTGGAGAAACCTTGGGATGAGAGGGGTAAGCCGGGTAAGCCTCATCTCGGTAAATTCATGAGATCTTGCGGAACCTGTTGGTCTCAGCTCAGGAAACTTCGCCAAATTTGGGCCCTGTCGGCTTGGAATCTCTGAAGAGCGTGGTTGCAGGTCCCAGTGCTCCAGTTCCAGCGCGACCGATGGCCCCCATCACCATGCCATATCCGGTGAATCCGGTGTCGTCTCCGGTGGCTTTCAGCCCCAGAGTTTTAAACCCATCATTTCCGGTGACTGCAGTGCCAGGCACAAGCGCACCTGGCGCACCTCACATGGTCACCATGCCTGGGGTCGTTCCTTTGCCACTGGGCCATGTGGCCCCCCTAGGCCCCCCTGGTCCTGCCATGGTGGCCGGCTCGCCGGCCAGAAACGGCGGGCTGGTGGCGCAGACCACGCCCAAGGTGGAGGGCCGCGCTCCACCGATCAAGTTTCACTCCAACAAATGATTGATTCAATCCAAAGTTTGCAGGGAGAAAAAAGATCAAAGAGGCAGTTGGGTCATCATTTTTTGATATTTAGTAATGTTAAGTCATCAGATATGCAATGTTCTTGTTGATTGAATGTTGTTGAAAGGCTGTTGAGTTTGTTGAGTCACTGGAGGCCTTGAATGGCTTGCGGGGCTGAGGTATGTGGTCGGGTAGTTGGCTTGTGGCGATCGCCTCTGGCATTGTGGGTGCTGCAGCAGTGAGTGCGGCACCTCGAAAGCTCCTGGGAGTGCATAGTGAGTGGAGTCTGAGTGGAGGGAGTATTTGCTGCTGGAACTGTTCTCATAGAATTCATGGAGTAGAATGCAATCTCAGTGCATATAAAAATTGCGCGGTCATTCCAAATTTATCCAAATTTGGCAGCGGGTTCAGAAAACTCAACTAGTTGCTTGTCCGTATTCCAACTACAAATGCACACACACACACACACATACGCACACACACACACACACACCCACACACCCACACACACCCACACACGCACACACACCACACGCACACACACGCACACGCACGCACACACGCACCACACGCAACACGCACACACGCGCGCACGCGCGCGCGCACACCGGCGCGCACATCGGCGCGCACACCCCGGCGCGCACACCCGCGCACACACCGCGCGCACACAACGCGCACACACACCCCGCGCACACACACCCGCGCACACCCACACCCACACCCGCGCACACCCACGCACACACACGCCGCGCACACCCACACACACCCGCACACACCCACACACGCACCCACACACACCACACACACACCACACACGCACACACACACACACACCACACACACGCACACACACACACACACACACACACACACACACACACACACACACACACACACACACACACACACACACACACACACACACACACACACGACACACACGTACACACACGTACACACACGTACACACACGTACACACACGTACACACACGTACACACACGTACACACACGTACACACACGTACACACACACACACGTACACACACGTATACACACACACACGTACACACACACACACCACGTGCACACACACGTGCACACACACGTGCACACACACGTGCACACACACGTGCACACACACGTGCACACACACGTGCACACACACGTGCACACACACGTGCACACACACGTGCACACACACGTGGACACACACGTGCACACACACGTGGACACACACGTGGACACACACGTGGACACACACGCGGACACACACGTGGACACACACGCGGACACACACGTGGACACACACGCGGACACACACGCGTACACACACGCGTACACACACGCGTACACACACGCGTACACACACGCGTACACACACGCGTACACACACGCGTACACACACGCGTACACACACGCGTACACACACGCGTACACACACGCGTACACACACGCGTACACACACGTACACACACGTGTACACACACGTGTACATGCACACACACACACACATGTATACGTATATATATATATATACATATACACATTTATTTTAGATACATATTCCTGTCCGTGTATTTGTGTGTGCAGCAGAAAAACATGAGAGAGACTTACGCCAAGAGACAAATGCACATAAAACATGAAGAGGTACACGTGCGATTCTGAGATTGAGTATCTTTCCAGGAAAGTTGGCTCACCTCAGGCTATACAATCTGCACATGGGACTGAATCTGGACTTCAACCTTGTCTCTTGGCTGGGTTTGATCTCTAGCGGTTTGAAATTTGAGCTTCGTCTTCAAGAGCAAGTCGAGACATGATGAAAGTCTTGGAGTGAAAGCCTGCAAAGCGGTGGCCTGAGTGGCTGTAGTGTCAACCACGGATCAATGAACCATTGGTTGATCCCTACCTTGCCCTGCAGGTGTTTGGAGGACCGGTGGCAGCCTTTGATTTGGCTGCCCTGTGTTGCGGCGTGGGCGCCGTGCTGTTGATCCTACAACAGGCGAGATTTGGCAGGATTTTTGAGGTTTCAAAAGTCTCAAATCACACTTGGCTGTGTGAAAAAAGGCATATCCTTGATGTGATCAAATTCTTCTCATCCAACGGAGGCATCTCATCCAATCAATTCTAGTCATTCTAGTATATTCTAGTAATCATTATCATCCAATGACCATCCAATGATCTGTAAAGGTAGGCATCACCCAGCTGGTGATCGACTCAGGCCGATGCCAGACCTCCTGATCCGGAGTGGCATGTGGAAGCGACCGTAGGGACCACCCCAGTGCTCAGTAGCCCGGCTGCTACGACAATGGGGTCACACAGACCAGCCCTAGGAACTAGGAACCTGCGATTGTTGAGGATTTCTGGTCATTGTGTATTGGTATATATACTGTAAATTGGTATAAACCATCCGAAATGTACTAATTTATCCTATGTGATGCTATGATGCTATGATTTTAGCATATTTTAGCTATATATAGTCATCCCCAAATAGATGGAAAAGCGAATACCTCCGAATTTCATGATGATTTACTTTTCCATCTATTTGATTCTATTTGGGGGATGACTATCATTTTTGGGTGTCAATTTCCAACCATCAGCAGCTCGAGAAGGTCGGAGGAGCCCTGCCAGTTCCGGCCGTCCGGGCCGTTCTGGCAGCTGGAGACGAGGCATTGAGGCGACTGCTGTGAGTGCCATTGTTGAAGGCCTCATGACTCATGATTGATCTATATTCATGGATATATATATATATAATATACATAATATATATACATATATATAATATAATTATATAATATTAATAATATCACACACAAATATATATATATATATATAGACATAGTTGCACATATAATGATGCATACTGTTTTGTGTGTTTTGTGAGATGATCGTATTTTGGACACATGTTTTTGAAAGTTTTTGTTTGGTGCGCCATTCCATTCTGCGTTGCCTGGGCATCCCGTCGTTTGCTGTCCAAGTGCCTGACGAACTTGACCCTTGTTCCTGCGCAGCTCTGCTTCCGAGCGCGAAGGTGATTCTTTTCGGAGCAATCATAGCCGCCTTTGAAGGTGCCTTATTTGTTCCTTTGGCTGATTTTGGTTGCCTCGGCCCTTGGTTGATGCTGAAAAGTCCTCTTGTGACGAGCATTGAGCGATGTCAGGGAAAATGCACAGGAACCGTGGGAAAATGTCGCTCAAACCAAGTCAAAGAGTGGTACTTTGCGGGTGGCCCTTTTTCATTTTGGTTGGTCGCCCCCGCCAAAATGTTTCAATCATGTCTAAGTTCCCCATTTTTCACCTAAAAAAATTAAGGTTTCCCCTTATACTATACAATTGGACGGACCTTTCACCTCCAAGGTCTTCGTCTTCAGCTGGTCGCCACTGTTGTTGGGTGGTTGGCCGGGTCTGGGACCCCACTTGGGGCGACTTGGATGCACATCGGGGCCATGATGTCCTCGGATAAACAAACCAATGGTTCCCTCAGGAGGGATGATCAAAAAACTATTTGTGAATAATTAGGTTCTGTTTCCTCTCTCTCTCTCTCTCTTTCTCTCCTTCATATCATTATTCAATTATTCCTTTGCAGGGGAGAAACACGGAAACATGGGGGAACCAAGAAGAATAAGAACCACTTGGCTCGAAGTTCGCCATCTTTTTTTGATTATTAAATTATTTACCATATTTGTTCTGTCTTTGCCCGATCTTTTAATTTGTATATGTTGCTTTACTTTCCACCGGTGCCAAACTTGAGGTTGGTATTCTCGCTCTTCATGCACACACCTCAGTTGTGAAGAACTTGTGAGTCGTCCAAGGTTGAGGGTCTGGAATCAAAATTGAGCACCTACATTTTGCAATTGGATGGACCGTGATGGACCATGTTGGCCGGCTATTGATGTTGGTGCCCACCATCAGTTGATAGAAACTCAGGTTTGTTGCCACTTGTGACAGACATGGCAATCGACAATCGACAATTCACAATCCGGAATGAGAAAACCATCGGCAACTAGTAGCCGTCGATATGTGGTTTCAAGCTTCGATGATCTCTCAACCACCCTGTTTTGTTGAGGCTCTGCTGTGCGGGCGGTTCGTTTTGCTTCAAGACTCTGCTGGAAGCTCGGGTGCTAGCAGCTAGGGCTTCAAAGTTTCCTCCCCGAACCCCAGCTCTTCAAATTTGCAAAGCCTTGCCAATCTTGCCAGCAGTCAGGTCAGAGATCTGGTGTCTCAGTGGCACTGTGTTTGGTGTTTTTTTTTTGGGTTGCCTGGAGCGAAAAACAACTTGGAGTGAATATGAGTGAATGACATCCAGGGCCTGCAGGGGAGGGCTCTTGCAGCACCAAGGAGCCCGGCCAAGTTGCTGTTCCCGATTCTGGCCGTGGCATTCTCTTCGCTCTTCGCCGCTGCATATGCTGCACGTGTGAACTGCATGCCTGCAGTGCTGGTTGCTACGGATCGCAGTTAATTTTGACTTGCTGCGCGCGAACGAGTTTGGACCAAACTCGGCCCTCAGGGTTCAATAAGTCGAAGTTCAAGTTTGCCTTGTCTTGTCCCTGAGTTCTTTGATTGTATCATGTTGTATCCATTTCCTACTTTCAGTTGTACGCCAGGTTGCCTTCCTCTTATTCGAGCTGTCTGTGGGTATGTACTTCCCGTGCACATCGGCCCTGAAGAGTGATGTGGTTCCGGATCAGAAACGCCACTTGGTTGCAGCTGGTGATCAGGTTCAATCACACAGCCATTTCGGCGCTTCAAATCGATGATTAGAATGTGTCAGAATGCTCTATATATCTGAATCTGGGTGGGTCCTTCCCATACCAAACTGGATAAAGATTGTTAAGGTACAGTAGATGATAAACTGTTGAACATTGAGTTTCTGAGGAATGAAAGACTGTTGCTGGTGAGCTGACTGCTTCATCTGTTTCCAAACTTTTGACCATGGCTGCCATGGCTTACTGCGGCAGAGATTGTGCCATCATGTTGGATCCCCCTCGGAACATGTCGCGGCGAGGCGCTCTCATCTACAGCCTTTATCGCGTGCCGTTGAATGGCTTTGCTTTGGGTGTGCTGCTTGGAGTGCGCCATTCAGTGGTGGGTGGTACTGATGGCACTGATGTACAGTACTTAGTTTATAACATGTTGTCTAAACATCTCACTGGACCCCCTCCCTTTTCCAGGGGGGATTATAAAGCGGTGCTTTATGTGCTTTATGTGGCGGTCTTCTAAATTCTTCTAAGGTATGCTAATGGTGTTGAATTTTTGGATGTAAAGCTCCGCGGATTCCAAGGGATCCAAGACGATCAAAGGTACCTTCCCAGACCTCCGCCTTGGCGTTGTGTGGAGCCAGATCCTTAGGGCGTCCGGAGATGTCCGGAGTCATGGGATGTTTCCAAAAGAACTTGGGATCCCCAGGCTGTCCTGTGCGTGGTGGCCGTGTGGGCTGTGCCTTGTCAACGGCGTTACCACAAAGACTTCTGTGAGTTCTGGGGGGAAGTCAGGACTTAACTTGAGAACATGCAAACAACACCTAAAGAATCCCAAAGAGACGTAAAGCTATTGTTTTTGTGCAGATGGGAAACTCCCTGATTGGGAACGCCAAATTGTGGGGAAAAGTCAGCCATGGATTGACTGTCCATATATGCGCACACAATCGCACACACACACACAATGACGCATACAGCATATACAGCATCATGTGCATTACATGTCCATATATCATCATATATTCATGTCCTTCCCACCCTAGTATTTGTGTGCGGCTTCCGTGGAATCAGCCATTTTCATTTTCAGGTGCTGATGCCATCGAAGTTGGCACAAAGAATGGCCGACTGATTTCTGCCTGGTGTAGTTTTGCCACAAAGATGGCGAATGGGCAGTGGCTCTCCTGAGACGAATCCGGTGGGAGTACTGTTTTGGAGCCCCAAAGTTCTTAGAGCGGATTAGCATACTTCAGCAATCTTCAGCAACTCGCATTCTTGCAACGTTTCTCCACAGCTTGCGAAGATGTTTCAAGCGCCACACTCACTAAGATGACTAAGATGATAAAGAATTAAGCCACTGTTAGGGGGAGCCACTGTCCAAAGGCCTGATTCAAGCAGAAGAGCATGGAGCATTTTCCGGCTGTAAAGTGGGCCTTTTGAATTGGCCCCAATGCTAGCATCGGTTGTGGCATGCAGCGGGCGTAAGTCCGACCAGTTACCCATGCCATGCGTTGAAACCCGCATTAAGCGGCCAGCGGCCGCCGAAAATGTGGGCGCAAATTCCTCTTTGCCTGGTATATCACCTGGGTGAAAGGTGTGGAAGTCACGGTCTCCACGATGTGAGTTCTCTCCCTTCAAGCCACCCCCAACATAGCCACTGAACAACATTGAACCAGGTGCGAAAATGACGATTCTGCTGAGGTCGGTCGAGCTGGCAAAGCTCAGGAGAATGCTGCGCAAGTGCGGGGCAATTTGCATGCACTTGGGGGCAATCAACGGACTAAGATCAGCCAAGATCCATAAATTTCATATTACATTATATTATATATACATACTATATGGACACGATCAATATTAATAATTATGTTTGAATTGGGGGCAAGATGCGTGTGTGCATTGTTTGCCGACCGAATTAATTACCAGATTTGGGGTCAAGTGACTTACTTGACTTTCGCACTTCCTGATTGTTCATCCAGCCGAAAATTCTTCAGCCAGTTGGCTCTTAGTGATTGTTGGTGTTGCCAAAGAGCTCCAACAGCCGTGTCCTCAGATTTCAACTTGCAGTTGACCAAAGAATTACCAAGCTACTAGTAGCAGGTAGAAAACATGATGAAATACCGAGTGCACAAACATCTTGAACCACTTCAGTCTTTGGCTTCAAAGTCATGTGTTCCTGAGATTTCCTGAGGTGTTTAGTCCGAATGACTGCGATCAATGGTCTTGATTATCCAGTCCCACTAGGCATCGCCTACATATTGCTCTCTGGGTGCCTCTGCTGCACTGCGGTTCATCCATGCAAGAGGTTCCTCAACATTTCTTCGCCAAGCCCGTCCCTATCCCGTCCCTAATATGCAGCATATTGCAGCATAAGTGGGCACCCCAAGGTCATAGAGGTTTATGTTTATCACCTGCAAGTTGGGTGGGAACAGGATGTGAGTTTCATTTCCTGCGATAGGTGCGTGCTGCGTGCCATCTTTGTTTGGATGCAACTGCCTGCCTCAGTAGGACGACCTGTCATGATTCACACAGTGGTTTCCAGCAGTCCACGGCTGCAGAAGATGTTTCATGACAGTGGACTGCAGATTTTGAGAACACATGGGTTCTTGTTAAGAAATCCTTGAAACCAAAAAAAACATTCTTGGCTGCTTTCGATCCCCAGGAGTCATGCTCAGCGGCTTCATTTTCCGGCACTTCTTTCAAGACGAATTGCTGTTTGCTCGGGATGAGCTGCAAGAGTTTCTTTGGTGATCTATCGTTTTTTTTTTTTGGTGTGTACTGTATTTTCATTTTCTATCCTCATAACAATGGGATGATCCCGAATTGACCGACAGATCTTTGTTCTGCTTGTCACCGGCTAGTCTGCGTGAGCACAGCGGGATGAAGCGTGCCTTGCAACATCCTTCCGCCATTGCACCACTGCATAAATAAATAAATAAACACACACACATACATATACATATACATGTATATTAGCTAATTTCAAGAGCAATGAACACCATGTTTTCTATTGGGTTTATGACGTGGGGTGCGGAGGGGGTCTTGCTAAGGGGTTTAGCCAGGTACGGGACGGTTGGTACGGGTTTTGGTGCGGGTGCGGGGCGGGTACGGGTGCGGTACGGGGACGGTATGGCAAAATGGCATATTGTCCTACCTCCAAAAATGCCAATAGAGCATTGCTCTTGAAATTAGCTAATTATATAATATGTAATCCCTTCCTCCTAATACTAAACGCCCCCCCTAATAATAAACACAGCAGGTAGTTTTTAGTATTAGGGGGGTATTTATTATTAGGGAACCCTATTAATAAAATTAAACCCTTAATAATAAAAACTATTTTTTCCGATCTCAAAATCAATTAATTTTCTTTATATAACGCAATTAAAATCTTGCCAAAAATTGGATTTCGAAGCTTCCCCCTAATATTAAATTAAAACCCTTAATAATAAAAACTAGTTTTTCCGATCTCAAAAGCAATTAAATTTCTTTATATAACGCAATTAAAATATTGCCAAAAATTGGATTTCGAAGCTTTCCCCCTAATATTAAATTAAAACCCTTAATGATAAAAACTATTTTTTCCGATCTCAAAATCAATTAAATTTCTTTATATAACGCAATTCACGAAAGGTAGCCTCCTAGCGGGCTACCTTGAGTTTTACTTTGCGAAGCAAAGGGGCGGGTTGGACCCCTTATCCTTGAACGACCAGGAGAAAGGGACCCCCCCCCTCCCCCCCCCTCAAAGGGAACTCTCGCCATATGCCTGGTGAGTCTCTTCACGCAGCAGCCCCTTCGCAGTGTCTCGTCATCATCACCATATCATCATCGACATCATCGTCATCATCATCATCATCCTCCTCATCATCATCATTCGACTTGCAAGTCGGATTTTTCGACATCCATTTGCCCCGTACCCAACGGTGCGATGAAAGTGACAGGTTCGAGCATCCATAGGTACCGCAAAAAGATACATTGGAGTTTGTGCTAACACTGACCGTGTTTTTTTCCCCGCACGATGCGTGTGTCTGACAATGTATACCTCCAAATGGCTATTTAAAAATGGACTAAGTGATGAGCAACCATGGACATCGTGGGGTGCTCTCTTTTCGGATCCAGATATCTCCGCTCTGCTCTGAATGTCCAGTTCCATGCCCCCCCCCAAGTGAACTCTCGTCACATGCCTTGTGCGTCTCTTCACGCAGCAGCCCCTTCGCAGTGTCTCATCATCAGCATCATCGTCATCGTCATCATCATCATCATCATCATCATCCTCATCATCATCATCATCATCATCACCATCATCATCATCATCCTCCTCATCATCATCATCATCATCATCATCATCATTCGACTTGCAATTCGGTTTTTTCGACATCCATTTGCCCCGTACCCAACGGTGCGATGAAAGTGACAGGTTCGAGCATCGATAGGTACCGCAAAAAGACACATTGGAGTTTGTGCTAACACTGACCGTGTTTTTTCCCCGCGCGATGCGTGTGTCTGACAATGTGTACCCCCAAATGGCTATTTAAAATGGACTAAGTGATGAGCAACCATGGACATCGTGGGGTGCTCTCTTTTCGGATCCAGATATCTCCGCTCTGCTCTGAATGTCCAGGTCCATGCCCCCCCCAAGTGAACTCTCGTCACATGCCTTGTGCGTCTCTTCACGCAACAGCCCCTTCGCAGTGTCTCCTGGAGGCGATTGGGAGTTGCAGGAGTTCCAGGCCGACAGGGTCAAGTTTTTGAGGGCTTGTTTGGTTGATGGCTGCAAGGAACTGCACGGTCACACACACACACGCTTACATAGATGATGCATTCACATCGTACATGCAAAGTACGTATACACATTATAATTAGTACGCGCGTTCGTGCATGACACATGCATGACACATTTAACATCACATATTGATGAACACAGGTCGAACTGTACCACCGCATTGGGTACATAAAGTAATTACCACAAAGTGTACCATTTGAATGGTTTGTGGCTGCTATGATGATCCAAGGGTTTGAGGTGGGTGGTCCTGACATTGTAGACCCTGAGCACGCTTGCATTGTAGACCCTTGCGGTTGCTACATGTTATGCAGGCATGTTTGGGTATGTTTTTGTATGTTCTGTGTGTGCTACGTGTATGTGTTGTAGAAGGTAAGGTACAGTCCATGTTCATATTGCGGTAGTTTTGTTTCATGTATGCTTTAGCCACATTTTGAAGCTGATGTCTTGCGAAAATGTTTCTTTTGAGACTGCTTTCCTTCCTGCCACTGTTGCCGTAGATTGACTGTGACATGTTTTTGCGTTCAGCATGTGCGCAGCATTTGTCAAAAGTCGTAGTTTATGATCGTCCTTGGTCATTGTTACTTCATTCAGGTCATGTGGAACATGATTCCAGACCTTGCTGGGTGGGGACACTGATTGTTGTTTTTTCTCCAGTTGTCCGAGGATTGAATTCAGGATTGTCATTGGGCCAGAGGTCTAAGATTATGATCGTCCTGTGCTGTCGCTGCATTCAGGTCATGCTTGGGGAACATTGTTCCAGACCCTCTGTTGTAACAAACATTCACGCACAAAAATGTGTTGAAAAATCTGTTCCTTATTTTTATGTCTATACCTAGATCTTCCTCAGGCCTTAGTTTCTGCCCGAATCCATTCAGGCTGAAATTTTTGCCTCTTCCCAGGATTTACGCCTTTGACCCAAATTTACGCCTTTTGGACGCAAAGCGAGATTAGGCATGATCTATGAACATCACGCGGCGAAAATGATATCGTTTCGAAGTACGGAAAAAATACGCCCGTATCACGGAAATTGACGCCTGTATGACCGAAAAATGCGCCTTTGAGGATTTCACTACAAACTCATTAAAGACGGTTCTAGGCGTACATTTAGGCAATGTTTCGCATGATATTTGCCAATAATAGGAATGCTCAAAAGGCTTTTCAGAAAAGGCGGAAAATTTTGCCCTTGTGAAGATGCAGGTATAACTCCATTAAGCGTTCTTTATAGTAGAATTATGTGAGAACATGTGACGACCTTTCTCAAGTTTCTCAGTAGGTGAATGGCCTTGTTTCATCATTTCGTGTGTTTTGTCCCAGGTTCTGTGGTGTTCAGTGGTATGGTGCTGGCATCACTGTTTTGTGGATGCAGTGTAGCTTGTAAGATTTCACCGCAGACCCTGCCATTCGAAGTGAATGCCCAGAACTTGCGCAGGCTGTTCAAGTAAACAGGGCCTTCACAGGAGATTCATAGGACATATGGAAAAATGATGTCCTTTGAACTTCCCTTTAGACCTTGCAGTCCATTTCAGGCAAAAGGTCTGCAATGCCAGAAAAAATGTACCACGAACTCTTGAGTCTTTCCATACTAGACCCCAGTTTCAGGGTCTGCACTGCAACCCTCAAGGTCCCAGGGGTGTAGCTGAGGATCTCCGGCTGGCTGTTTAGTTGGGATTTGTGGCACCGCAGTTGGGGAATCACTTTCGCCAACCTAGAAATCCTGGTCTGCTGCTGACCAGGCTGGGTGACGAGATTCGCCAGATTTGCTGGCGGCGTGCGGATCTCAGTGCTCGACGAGTCAAACATGCCTTTTGCGATAAATGCCCTCTGCGGGACACCGGGCAAGTTCCACACACTGCAAAGCATGAACGGGTTGGCCCTGCGAGGTGAATGAGATCTTGGTTTTTTGCCCTGATTGCAGCGGGATATGAAAATGGGAGGCATCCTTAGTGCGGTCTGTGGGCGGTTCGTCTTTCTTTGTTTCAGCCTTTCCAAGCCATCTAGTTACACGCGTTCAAAATCAACAAGGTCATGCTGAGTCACGCATCATGAAAATGGCATTGCATGTTTTCGGTTGCTGCTTGAAAATTTCAAACCTCAGTCTGAGGGCGGCCTTTGGAACGTTGCATTGATATGAAACATGGTGGATGTTAGATGCTATCTTCTGTGATTAGGTACTTCACTGCGGTTTCCGAGGGCCCAGTCGCAGTTTGTATTCAATCAGGCGGATCAATAGACAGATTGACTACTCGGCAGGAACTTGTTTCCACTGATGGCAGTTGCAGCCGTGGCTCAAGAGTCATCCGGGCTGAAAGGTCCTCTAGCCTCAAGGCCGGGTTTCAATCTGCAACTGCATGGCCGGAGTTCAATTGGTGCTGCTGCCGGTGCTCAGTTTCAGTCGCTTTGTTTTTGGATCATTTTTCTTGAAACAGGGCAGTTCTTGTTTCAGATTTCACCGCATTGTGATATGACCATTTATTTTCAAAGATGTTGCCACGCCATCACCATGCTACCACTTCCTTCCCTGTCAACAATTCACATGATAGTGACCTGATCGGTGACCAGGCCTCCAGAGACGCGAGGCTCGCAGGCGGGATGGGGAGGTCAGTGACAAGGAGCCGCATCGGACAGCTGTTGCGAGTTGCAGGGGAACTGCTGCAATGTGAACATCGCAGAATTGACCCATTCCATTATATCTCATTTTATCATTTGGACCGGTGCACCTTCCCACGGAGGGATGGGTTCAATGTGTGGCAGAGACCTGCCCAGATGACCTGACGAGGGACCGTTTTCAAGATTTGCCGCGCCACATCACCACCCATCACCAATGCCAACGAGTCACGTGGCGGTGACCAGGCCTTCAGAGACGCGAAACTCCCAGGTGGGATGGGGCGGGATGAGTTCCAACCGGATTGGCGCAGCTGATGGTGACTGAGGTCATTTGAGTGTAATTGTCTCTACTTG